CCCAATGCTAGTGTAAGGACTTTAAATGATGCCTTTTGATCCGATCATCTTCTTTCCAGTAGTTTTTAGAAGTCCATCCAGCGCTGGTGCCGGTCTCCGATCCAGCGCTGACTTCTCTCTTTTCCTGGCACTTCCTGTTCCACAGAGTCTGTGTTCGTGCACGCTGCCTCCATTGACTTACCTTGTGTCTCTCCTCATCTCCCGGCTGAAGATCTGTACTGCACCTACGCCCGCCCCATGATCCTATCCTTTGCGACCGCCTGAGATTTTTTCAGATCTTTGGATGGGAGCACGTGACGGAGACACATATAAGTCTAAACCTTTTTTATAACTTTTTTTATCGTTTTTTATTATACTGTATCTACTGCTTGCTAGCAGTAGATATATGCAAAAACTGCTGAGGGTTTAAATATCCTTTAACTATTAAAGGAAAACTATGGGGTCAGGGCTTTTCCCCATAGTTCTCCTAAGGGTCACGGGAGAACACAAACTAGCGTTCTCCCGTGACCCAAAGCTCAGTATACCGCGAGCTACAGCTTGCGGTATACTGAGACGCTGCAGCCAGGACGGATCCCGACATTGCTGTCGAGATCCACCCAGCTGCGGGATTGACAGCTGGCTCTGCCTATCCAAAGGCAGAGCCAGCTTTGCCGGCCCCCTCCCCCGTCCGTTCTGCCAGTCAGCGCTGGAGGATTGGACAGGAGAGGGGGAATGCCAGCAGGGAGCCATGAGTGACAGTCACGGCTCTCTGCAGGGATAGATCAAGAAGTGAGCGAGTGAGCGACAGTATGTGTTCGCTCACTTCCCGATCTACTGAGCCGACCTGTGACAGTTTCATTGTCACAGGTCGGCTCAGATTATGAGGCTGAGTGAAAATCACTCGCCTCATAATTCTCATTTAACAGAAATGTACCTTGTTTGTGTATCACTCAGCTGTAGATACTCAGATCATCTCCAAATTTATGCTGACACCATCTTTCCTTCTGTAGGGTGGCTACTTTTGTTCCCCATTGTCCCTCTGTGTGTCCCTCTGTGTGTTGTAAAGTAGCCACGACTCCAAGCTCATGATAGACTACAATCTCAATACAAATTAGTAAACTAAAAGTGAGATTCCAGGACTGAGCTTGGAGCGGTGGCTACTTTACAACACTCACAAGGTCAGGCTCCACCGCTGACTTAATTAGTTTGCAGCATTCTTACTTGGCTGCCATTCCACCCACCTATGATTCCTCCTTTGTCTGAACAGACTGTGTAACGTTGCTCACTACTCCCAGGCTTCCTCTTATGGCCACTCCTGTCTTTCACTCCTGTCTCTGAGTGATGATGTCATCCCACTAACTATTTAAACTGCTTCAATCCAGTCTGACCTTGCCCTTGCGTGGTTTTACCTGTTAGTGCATTCCTATTGTTCTGTACATTCTGATTCCGTGCATGACCCGATCATAGATGACGTTCTCCTTTGGTTCCTGCTCCTGGCTTGTTTCTGACAACGCTGACCTCCATGTTCCTGACCTGGCTTATGCAACCACCCACTCCGGCTCCTGACCTTGGCTTGTTCCTGTTTATGATTTTTGCTTTTTCCCTGTTGACACTTTTCCTAATAAAGTATTTTTAACAAGCACCTTATGCTTGTCTGGTTTTCATTGTGCTCTGACACAGGGACCATGGGGAACAAAAGTGCCCACCCTCCAGAAGGAAGGACAGTGTCAGCACAGGTGATTTGAGAATCTACAGCCACGTAATACACAAATAAGATACATTTTGTAAATACAGGTGAAACTCGAATAATTAGAATATCGTGCAAAAGTAATTGCAGTTATTGCTGCAAAAGGGGCCCAAACCAAGTACTGAGGACATATGCATGCTTGTACTTTTCAGAGGTCCGATATTGTTCTATGTACAATCCTTGTTTTATTGATTGCATGTAATAATCTACTTTTTTGAGGTTGTGGATTTGGGGTTCTTGGGGTTTTCATGACCTGTAAGCCATAATCATCACAATTATGATAAAATCACGGCTTGAATTATCTTGCTTTGCATGTAATGAGTCTATCTCATATATTAGTTTCACCTTTTACGTTGCATTAGTGAAATAAATGAACTTTGCACGATATTCTAATTATTCGAGTTTCACCTGTAGTTAAGGTACTTGTATCCATTTTTTTTATTTAACTCCAGAGTTTAGTGTTACTTTATTTTGACTAGAGTGGGGAAGGTTAAAATCAACATTACAGTGCCATGTAGCACCAATATTTGCAGTATTAAATTTTTTGTACTAGGTCCCAATTCAAAAAGGACTCCCAAAAGCCATTTTTAAATTTAGAAATGAACATTTATATGACATTTATTCAAAGAAAAAAAGCCCACAAAAGATTGTTGTGCCCTGTATTAATTTATTTGCACTCAAGCCCCAATTTGAATAGAAGCCCCAAAAGCCATTTCTCAAAGCTCTCCTTAATCTTCTATACAACTGTAATACAAAATCTCAAAGTGTGTCTATGACTGCATTTAAAAATAGAGATGGTTTTTCAGCTATCAGCAACAGCTGATAGCTCAATATTCAATGAGCATGAACACCTAACTTTCCCTGCTATTTGTGAGCTTTCCCTGACTATCCTATATACAATGCACTGAAAAAAAAGGCTGCTGGGACCTCTGACTTTTATAGGGGGGCTCGCTCATTGCAAAATCCCCATGACTGACTCTTTGTCACAGTACCTGGAGTGAGACCAGATGGAGGAGGTGGCGTCCCTTGCTTCCCGTGTCCAACTTCCCTGGATATGGAGACAGGGAGAGAAGGACACAAGGTAGCATTGTTGCCTGCATGGTAGGAAACCAGAGGCAGACGGGGTATCGAAGCAGGAGACAGGAGCTGAGTCGGGGTCACAAGTCGGGTCAAGCCAATCAGGAACAGCAGTACAGAATCAAGAGCCAGAAGCGGAGTCAGGAACAAGCAGAGGTCAAAGCCAATGGTCAAGCAGGTACAATCAGTAGGCAGAAGAATGGTCAATACCAGGTCAATAAACAGGATTTCACAGGATCACAGGAACAAAAACACAGGAATAGCTGAGGATCAATCATCAATGAAGGTGTGCCACAGGTCTGTTTAAATAGGGCTTCAAGATAACACTTCCTGTGCGACTTGCACACGCTTTTCAATGAGACCACTGATGCATATGCGCACGCACGTCTTGTGCATGTTTACCCTATGACCCTGACAATGGGTCTTCCGGATATGTGCATGGGGCGCACGGCACTCTGGGCATGTGCATGGCATTTCTTACACCCTTCCACGCCTCCTGATTACAGGCATCCAATGTATAGGTCTTTTGGGACGTCGAGGGTTTGTAACTGACTCACCTGATCCTTCTCTCAGCACGGCTCGTATTGCCGTCGGAGCTTTGTGACGTCACGAGACTCCTCCCCCTCTCCCTAGTTAAAGCCGACGGAGACACTTGTCTGGCGTTCTAGCAAGTGTGAAGACGCCAGGCAAGTTCCCCGTCACCCAGCATCTTTTGGCCTTCTTACCTGCTTACCCATACCCGGAAGACCCTGGGAAGCAGTTTCACTGGACTTCATTGTCGAGCTACCGTCCTCGCGGGGCTGTAACACCATCCTCGTTGCAGTCGACCTATTCACAAAAATGGCCCACTTCGTTCCCCTGGCCGGCTTACCGACTTCGAAGACCACAGCCGAGGTCCTTATGGACCATGTGTTCAAGTAAGATTTCTGATTGATTATTACCATTACTATTACTATTGCTATCTCTGCAGCTGTGATCCTCCACTCTACAGACCTGTGGGGTCTGATCGTTACAGGGTTCCCGATTTACCATTTCATCTTGCCATCAGGCTAAAAGGAAAGCCCCATCAGTAGGGGATGTTGAAATTTTGAGATAGGTCACAAAGAGTTGTAATGGTCTGTGTTATTGTAAAGTGATCCATGAAAGGTCTGGATAAAGCTGTATGCTTTACATATGTAGTCCTTCCAAAATGTGGGTCCCTATGTCTCTGTGGTATGTGCAGTGAAGCAACCTGTGGGTGTGCTTGCCCAACCTGTTACAGGTTCATGTCCACTATAGGATGATGGCCTGAGCTGTGTCCTGCCACTCTGGATTCCTGTAATCCAGGTGCTCTCTGAGGGCCTTTGATGGTGGCAGTGTCATGTATACCTCCATGTTGGAGGGATGAAGGCAGTGGTATTGGGTACAGAGGGGTAGCGGTAGCTTGGCTCACATTTACGGAAAGGTCTAATAGTACTTGCATCTGATTCGCCAGGGCTTCCTGCAGAGTGCGCCAGGGGGTAATGGGGGTGGCAGTGTGGATGAACCTTGGTCTGTTGTGGCTAACCGCATGTTCGGATGACCATAATAGCTGGAGAGGGAGGAGGTATGTGTAGAACCTCAAATATCTGTTATAGAGTGTAAAACTGTGTAGCTGGGCCTGCGCAGTAGCGCTATCTAAATGTTTGCTGACTGTAGGGATACTGGAGAGGGTGGTACAAGGCTGCCATGAGATAAGTCATTGGGAGGATCTTTAGGGCTGCAATAATAGGCTTTTTTATGTCTGGAGGAGCAGGTGTTGATTCATTTCGGCTTGGCCACTATCTTAGAGGTGCTGCAGTAAAATCTGTAAAACAGCAGGTCAGAGGGAGAGCATCACTTAGGTATTTGTGTTCAGCTCAGCATCTGGACATGTCACAACTTGTTTTTTTTTGTCTGTAATCTCTACTACATATTAGAAAATAAAATATGCATGCATGCACATACAGTACCTGCAAATACAGTTCTCATTTGCTTTTTTCAACAGTGGAAAAGTGCTGCAAGAAGACATTACTACATGGCAGGAAGTCCCCAGAGGTCAGAGACTTTTCCCCACCTCTTCATGGGTATGTCTGACATGTTTTGCAGCTATGGGCTTTTGTTTCAGGAGTGGTATTTTGTTTTGTTTTTTTATTATTATTACTTTATGTTGATAGGGCCTTTTTTAAGTTTGGGGTACTCAAAGTACAGCATTCACTTGTTACTAATCGTCTATTCTTGGAGCTGCCTCTTGTTCGCAACACGCTGCTGCATCATTTGATAGAAAAAAAAATATGTGCAAGAATAATTTGTATATCTGCATGTGTGGCTACAATGGGAGATTATAGGAAGACAGAATGAAATGTGGTCAAAGGCATATAGAAAATGTGAATGTGGTTTTCAGTATCTATTCACAGGCATTGAGGGGGGCTAAATAGACATTTAAAGATACAGGATGATAGATGTTAAAATGGCATGCTGATGCAAATATGACACTTTTACTAAACATTAAACCACAACCCCCCATCTTTTAACCCAACTGGGGGAAAAAATGCAAACATAAAATAAAAAAAAGCACACATAAACATAAAGCAGTGGTTTCTGTTGTTTTTTTTGTGTGCTTCTAGGTCATTTCTCATAATGCCTTGCACCACAGAAAACATGAACACATTTGTTATGACTTTAGTGATGCTTTAAACACTTTTGTTAAACACTAAACTGCATTTTTTCCTTCCCACCCTCCTATGGGATTTTGTGTCTGCTGATGAGAGCACTATTGTGATCTGCAGCGTATCAACTGTGGTAAAGTACCAGCCATTTGGATACCACATGAATGAGGAAACACATGCAAGCAGAGCTCACTGGGAACAGCATCTCAATAAGGCAAGGCAGCAGCAAAATGCCTCCACAACTCCTACTTATTCCTCACTTTCTGCATCTCCTTATACTCCTCCTCCTTCTCCTCTTCCTCCTCCACACCATTTCCTGTTGCATCTGATGCAACATCTGTGGCCTCGATTGACAGGAAAATAAGTCTCACATGGGGTTTTAGGGGCTTGGGATACACCATGTCATGTGGAGAATAGGATCATGGGGCCACATTGAGGAAGGTCAAGAGAATGTGTGAACCTCTGCCAAACACTCCTATACCCACCCTGCCATCTTCAGCAGCATCCTTCCCAACACTGCTGTCTCTTCTAGAGCTGCTGGAACAAAAGAAAACATATCCCCATATAACCCTCTGCCCAGAGTCTTAATACCAGCTTGGCAAAACTGCTTTGCAGCTGCCCCCATTTAATCTTATGGACTTAGTCTCCTTTTGTTCGCATGGCCTGTGCTATACAACAGAGGCAGTTACCCAGTCATCGTGGAATATAATGTGTCTGTGTTCCAGGACCACATTGTCAGGGACAGGAAACACATGGCAATGGACATGTGGTCTGGCAAACATGATAAGGGACGCTACATATGCTTTACAGCACACTGGGTCAATCTTCTGGCAGCAGGGAAGGATACAGGATGTGGCGCACCACTGGAGGTTGATGGTTCACCCACAGGAATGGAATATTTGCTGGATGTTCTTACAATGAAGACAGTGTTGTCTTCACAATACAGTCTAATGTTTCCTTTGAAGATAAAACATGCCTTCGGGCGCTGTCCTGAAGGTAGTAAATTTCACCGACCTGATATTTATGTTTAAATATTTTGGGAATAATTTCGGGGATACAGAAAAGGAAGGAGCTCAGGGATTGTGGGGTTGTGGTCTTGAAGTGTTTTTGATCACTTTGTTTCGACATTTTATTAAGCTTTAAGACAATGCAGTATAGTACTACAAAAAAGAAGCTCCCAAACTATACTATTAAACTGGCCAATTTGTACCAATTGATGGGTTTAGCTTATTTTTTTAAGAGTAAATCTTCTTTAAACCTTTAGATTTGTTGTGGCTGCTACTTCCACCGACCAGTTCAGGGCTATTACATCTTGTTGTGCTGCTGTGTATTCAAGCCTAACTAAATGTAAGTTGGAAAAAAACAATCGCACTTTCAAAATATATGATGCCAGAATAGAGTGTCACTGATGCTGTCAATTAAAATTGTACTGTTCCATAATACCACATACAACTTAAAGGCATCTCCCAAGTATGTAATTTAGAGGACTTTTTTTTCCATGTTGCCATTGAAGTTGAATTAAAAGGACCCTCTCTCCACTGCATTGCATTATTAAAATTGTGTTTTTGCTTTGTTTAATGTCCCCATCTGGTGTCAGCTTCACATGCCCTTTGCTTGACAAAAGTTTGCCTATTAGCCCCCAATGCTAAGTTAGCTTTTTTGCAAATTGCATACAGGGTTCAATGAACCACCGCAGAAAATTAAACCCAGGCAGATTGGCCCATCCAAATACTCTGCTTTTGAAGAGGACAGGAGAACTCAAACTGGCTGCAAATGCATGATATGGTACCAATGTGCCTAATCCAAGTTTCAAATGCTTTTAATGTCACTGATAATAAGTCTTTTTTGTGAACATAGATCAAAAATTACCCATATTATAACTTGGAACAGTCATTTTATGATATATGAAGTATTATATTTAACATGTCATATTTTAAGGCATATTGTGTGGTTTTTAAGCAAAACCCTTTGTTTTAACTTGGAGCCTAGAAAAACAAGTTTAGAGGGGCAAGCACTAAGTTTCATAATTTATAAATTGTGATGATTTTTTCCTTTTAGTGTTTCTTTCTTTTGGATGTGTGCTTAAATATGAGAAGATAACTGTTGGTGTGGATAGTATGTTGAGAATACATATAGTATGGGAACCATAAAAAAAATCTCTGCCTTCTCTTGTTCCTTGCTCATGGTAGCACAATCTAACAGTACTTTGTATTAAAATAACCACCAAAAAAGGGGCAAAGTACAAAAATGAGTCATCATTCAGTTGTGCCTAGGACAGCATTATGACTAAATACAGCCCAGACTAAACCTAGTGTTTTTTTTTATCTATGCAATTGAAATGATGTATTCAAATAATGCATGTGTTATTATGTTATATGCTAATAAGGGTTTCTTGGCTTTCAAAGTTCTTTGTGCTCAAATAATTCATTAATTCTAAGGTATAGCTTTATGATTTATTTCATTGAGCCAATGTGATTATTGCTTATGACTAGTATGTCTTGAGCACTTGACAATCTCCAAAAGATGTTGTTGCAGCTTTTCTAAATACCTCTGAAAGTCTTTCAAATCTGTGTCTCACAGTTCAGCAGCCACACAGCTGGATTACAGTAATTGCTCAATAAGAGAATGTCTCATGAGGAAGACTAGGTAAACCATAATGCTTAAAAAGATTGAGTTGCTCAATTTATAAGTGCTGGTGGCAGACAGTATTAGCACTAGAAATTGCGACTTACCTGAAATTTATAGGTTGTATGCAGGATTTTCCCAGAGCTGCTTTATTTTATCTAAAATAGGAAAGTTATATTCCATGTCAGAGAATGCAGAAGATTGATAAGGACAGTCTTTGAACATGCTTTTACACATACAGGGTCAATCCATCCATAGAATTGCTGAAATGTGATGCCGTGATTTACGACAAATTGAATCGTTTTCATATGAGAAAAAAATATGTTTGTCAGCTAGCGACCCCAGTCATTTGTCCAGTTTCCGGTATTGAAACATTTGTGCTCTGCAAACTGTTAGTTTTTGCTGCAAAGCTCTTGCAAACAAGAACTAGTGTGAATACTTTATATGCCCTAAATTTTACTAGTAAAGTATAACCTACACTAATTGTACCCCCTAATATTAACATAAAATGTTATTGATTC